TTTGGGCATTCACAAATAGTTATTTGTGTCCAACTGGTTTATGCATTCAGATAAACGAGTTTGCTGTGCCGTTACCTTAGCTCTGTATGTACATTAGAGACTTACTTTGGGGTATTTATTTCACAGTCACTTGTAAAAACATGCCCCTATATTTTGTTTCTACTGTGCCCATCCCTGTAATATTGAAATCAAGCACTGTTCTGTATAGATCACATACTCAGTTTATATATCAGTTTGAAGTCAACCTTAGATTATACAGAAAATGGTTCCTCTGTAGACAAAGCCTTAGCTTCAGCCACATCTTTTTAATCTGTGATCCAATTTCCCTCAGGTGTTCTCTGCATAGAAAACCTTCTTGAATAGCCTGAGATGTAAATTTAAACGGTGGTTTAGCTTCTGTTGCATGGGAAGAGTTTTAACAGATTTAATAATTTTATTAAGATGTTAAAATAAAAAAATATGGTACAGAGTTTAAGCGTAGAAGTTTCTGGTTATCAAGGAATAAGGTACAGATTATCAAGGGGTGCAAAGTTCAGTTTAGGATCAGATGGCGGAAGGAATACATAATCTGCAATATCCCCGATAGGGGGTAAAAGTTTAATGGGTCAAAGTACAGACATTGAGATATGGGGATATGTTGTTCATATTATGGCTATGTTCAGGTGTGGAGTATAATGAGTGGATACGATGATGAGGATGGATTTAAAACCCCAGAAAAGCCACTCTTATCCCAAAGAAGTGTCCATACCAGGAAGGTGGGGGTGTGGGGGGGGGTGTTAATACATGGATAACAGTGTCTGTAGAACTGGTAACGCTTTCATGTGCAGACAAAGCCTCGGACACTGAGTCAACTGGAAGACAACTGAGAAAGCGATGTGGAGATATCATCAGCATGTCAAGTATACAGCCTTTCACAGTCTATCCCAGCAATCCCACAGACATTGACTAATAGAGGTGATAGGATTGAGCCATGCAAGGAGGAGAGCCCTGAGGGGAGCAGCAGCCTATCCATCGCACTCTGGAATTTCTCTGACAAAAAGTGAAGTCAGCAGAATGCAACGGGGTCCACCACTGCAGCTATCCTTCTGATCTGAGGCTGAAGGACATTGCTGGTTCCAGCTTGATATGCATGGATGTCTGCCCTGTGTCCATGGCCAGGAGAACATCATCCCCTAGCCAGTGCAACTCAGATGTAAACATTATAACATCTGAGTTGCTTTCAACAAAGTGCCTGGGCTTGAAGCTTTTTTGCAGGCTGCTCCAAAAATATCTGTACCACTCCGTGTCTGTGTGCGCACGCGTGCACGAGAAAGGGAATAACCCAGTAATGCAGTCCACTTGGCTGAGTGGAAGAACAATGATGGTCAGGGCAAAATTGGGGAGTTTATAGAGAAAGAGCCAAAAATCAATTTAGAAGAACAAGAAGGCTAATTTTGACCTTTAACATTTACGTTGCTCCACTGTGTCACTAAGCTATGACAGTTATTGTCTTGCATCCTGTAACAGGTCTGTCTGGTACAGCAGTTTCTCATTTGAAGGTTGGCATCTTGGAACATGATACCTACTTACTCATGAAAGTTTCTGAAACCTGGGTTTTGAGTTATGCTTGGTGCAGTCTAGTATTTTGAGTTACTTCTTGTTCATAGATACCAGATGTCATCCAGCCCTCAGTGTTAACAGAAAAAATTGATTTTTTGGCCTTTAATTTTCTTTGACTTTCCTTTCTGATGAGCTGTTTTAGACACCAAAAGCAAAGAAACAAGACAACTTTTTGGAGAGGAGAAATAAAGCCAATATTGTGTTTGACTTACTTTTGTCAGTTCAGTGGCTCCTTCTCAACACAGTATGCATGCATGGAACAAGCACTGATTCTTCTGGAGGGAAGGGACTGTTTCTTTATTATATGAAAGCACAGTGCCTAGCTCAGTGCGGCTTTGATCTCAGTTGGGGTCTCGAAGTATTAACATAATACACACCAATAGATTATTTATTATTTGTAACAGTATAGCAATTCCTACATTTCTAACCTGGGGTTTCCACATGGTAAGGTAGCATTGTGTGAACTTTGCATTTTAAGATGAGTATAACTCCTGGCAAAAATGAGGAGTACTTTTATGCTGGCTGAAGCGTAGCTATGATTTTAGGTTATCAGACTTCTTTTTTTTTTTTGTAAGAACATACTTCTGCTGACATGATCCATGCATCCTTTGATATGAAGCCTAGTGCTCAAAGTCCTCTTGAACTGGTGTGACTTTGGGAAACGGCAACATACGTTCAGCATGTGTGTAGTAGGGAACAATATTTACAACCCCAAAAGTTCAAAAATTATGAGTCAAATCCCCCCCCAAATCGTGACATTTTCTATTTGTCTTTTAGTATGTCTGGGTCTGTTTTTTTTATTTTTGAACTCGTGTGTGTGTTAGTGGTGCCAGTTCTCTCAAATTTATCTGGTAAGATGATTTTTTCCATCCCCCCTGCAGGCTGCCAGGTGGAGTGGAGTTTCCAGCTTCTCCCCAAAATTCTAATTAATTTTGTGGTCACGCACCCATCTTCCCATCCCCCAGCCCAGCTATTAACTATACCCTCCTGCCCCAGTGTACAAACCCCACACTAGAGAGAGGGGTCAAGTAACTGCTCTGGGCCCAGGCAGCCACACCCTTGCAGCGGATGCACAGGCTGAAGGAGGAGCTGAGAAGGGGAGCAGGCAGCCAGTGTAGGCTAACACACCTCCTATGCTCTGAAGCTCTGCAGAAGAAGCATGGTGGGAGGCCCACCTGCTGGGGCCCCTAGCTAGTGATGGTCTATCTGAACTGCTGAGGAAAAAGGACTCTAGAGATTTGCAAGGTTGGAGACTTCCTGCTTAATTTATTTTATTTACATGCCTCTGCTGCTCCCTCTTGCAGGGGGAGGCTGGTAGGAAGTGATCCAGGGAGGGAGGTAGTTGCGTAGCACTCCAGGGTGCAGGATTCATATATAAGAATGTAACTTAAAAGACAATATTCATTCATCCCCTCTGACACATTTCTCTGTCTGATGAACAGCTATTGATCACAATAAAGGTGTTTTGGGAGCAGAAAGAGACAGCAAACTGTACACAGAGAATAACCTCATGCCCAAAGACCCCTCACTCTGAGGCCCTCCAGGAACGAGTGGACCAAGAACTGAGTTTAATTTCACTTCATGGGGAATTGGGGGGTGGAGCAAGTTGTACTCCCAGGTTGAGACCTTATATGTCAAGTGTCAGATCAAAGCAAATGAATACAGCTGGGTTGGAACTCCTTGGAGAAAGGAGGTATATTTATACTGGAAATGGTGACAGATTCTGTAACTGTATCAGCACTGCCCATGTGCCACTGAGATAAGTGATTACTGCAAGCGGGGAGAAGATGCAGACTGTTATATACGTATTTGAGTCAAATTGGGGAGATCCATAGCATACCACTGCAAGCCTATAAATCACTGTTCCAAAGGGCAGGGAATTTACAGCACCCAGTCCATTCAAGGGATTCAACGCTTGCGAGTGCTGCCTTGTCAGCACCTCTTGTGCAGCACCCCTTTCCTGTGGTGCCCATTTGCATTGCAATAAACTAATCAGTTTCCGAGGGTGACAAGTTAACAGCTGCGTTGTCTTCTTGCTCTCCGTCCCAATTAACTAACAGGAGAGGAGGGGGCTTCTGCTCTTTCCCGGGCAAATGCTGCCCCCATTGTACAGCCCTGGTACCCTGGGAAATTCACCAGGGGAGGAGGAGTCAGGATGCTTCCCATCCCAAGTCACAAGATGGCTACAGATAGAACCACCTCGAGCCGCTGCTGCAGCCTAAGAGCTACAGTAGCTCAGTTGCTTCTATGGCTGCAGGGTGCCCCTTTGAGGGAGGACAGAGGAACTGGCCCTTCCCCTGCGTGGGTTCTAGGCTGGGACAAGAAATTCCACTGCACCTTTTCTCCGTGCATAAGCACATCTGCACATCCAGTGTGGGCTCCCGAAGACCTGGCTGGGGCATAAGAACCACACCAGATGCACAAGCATCAGGGCAATTGCAGAAGGCTGGGAAGAGAGCAAAGAATAAGGAATCCACAATTGTATCTAGAGAGGCTATTATATCCATTCAGATAACTGCCCGTCAGATGGCTGCATGGATTGGAGGGGGAAGTCAAAAGAAAAAGTTTCCTGGCAGTTGAAGTAGCACCCAGAAATGACTGTTTTTACCCGCAGCAACCAGGTACTTGGAGACCCAATATGGATATACCCAGCTCATCAAACAGATGTACATTTCCTGAGTTCATTCAGTAATTTAGAAAATAGAAATATGTGGAGAAAGACTCTAGTTAATCAGAATAATGTAACTTCCCATTTTTATTTTAAATAGGTTGTTACATTATTTCAGAATTTCAGCACTTGACTAGCATAAACCAACCAGTCTTTCTTTCTTTCTTTCTTTTTTTTTTTTTTTTTTTGCGCATAATCCTGTCATGAAGCTTCCATTGAACCTGGATATATAGCAATATATTTCACTGTGAACTTTCCATTCCTGGTATAACGTTTGGGCATGCCCTCAGCATTCACAGGGATGAATTTTCTGCATGCCAGTGTCACACCTTGAGATGCGCAAAGTGAGATTGCCATAACCAGAGTCTGAGATGAAAGGACCACAGCATGATTATATGGACTCTTCTGTGAGCTCTCACCCCATCGCTTAGACGGACATTGCTGAGCATAATCTTACATTCCATTTATGTCCAGTGGGAGAAGGTTACCTGGGGTTTCCATGTAAGTGGAGAATAGGGTAACCAGGTAGCAAGTGTAAAAAAATCAGGATGGGGGTGAGGCATAATAGGTGCCTGTAAGACAAAGCCCAGAATATCTGGACTGTTCCTATAAAATCGGGACATCTGGTCACTCTAGGTGAAGGGAGCAGGATTCCTGGTGGCCAGTTTCTACAGATACTTTTCCCCCCAGGTTGCTGGCACTTTATCACAGAGCTCTGCGCCTTTCTTTTTAGGTGTATGAGAGCGGGACCAACGTGGACCAGTTTGTGACCCGTTTCCTACTGAAGGAGACTGCAAACCAGATCCAGTCTCTGCTGAGCTCTGTGGAGAGTGCTGTTGATGCCATTGATGAACAAACCAATCAGATCAGGTTGGTAATATCTTCTTGTCTTCCGCATTCCGCACCCTGCTGCTGCTCTAATAGACTAATCTGTTGTGTTTGTGAACCAGTCTTTTTTACTACCACGTGTTGGTGTGCAATTTTGACAACAATTTCTCCCATTAACAAGTCTGGTTTACAATACTGGAAACATATTGCATCCATTCATATTGATAAGTGTCAAACAGTGATCTCTTTCTTTTTTAACAAATGCATCAAACCCTTAATATTTCCCAATATGACCCAGAACATTTTGTGTTCCAAAGTAGCTAGTGCAAGTATCTGCATTTCAGTGCATCCCATAGCTATGGCTGTGTAGTTTCCTATTTCTAAATTTTTTTTTCTTATGGATAAGCCATGTGGTAGTATTAAGCCATTACTAAAGATTCCATCGGCCTTTTAGGTTACCCAGACCAATTTGGACCAAGTCTACATTGGCATGTACTTGTTTTTGTATCAGGCTGTCCTGTAGCTGGGACAGAAAGCTTAATTTATTTTTAAGTTCCTGCAGGTCTTCAGTATTTTTTTTTTTAAACACACAACAGTGCTAGCAACAAGACAAAACACAAGACAAAACATAGAACACAGAACACAATTTCTATTGTGACAGTAGATTCATGGTATTGGGTTGCTTTTCAGCTGGCATCAGCTTTTCCTGATTTTCTCAAAGACAAAAAGAACATGTTTCTACCCCTTTTGGGGTGGCAGATTATTGCTTAAAATATTTCTTTTACAAATACCCTTGCTGATTGCAGGCAAAATAGAGAAATTGCCCCCACATTTTCCTGTTTTTGTTCTATAGGCAGGCCAGGTTTCAATGGCTTTTATCTTTTAAGGGTTATGGGGAAATTATCCCACTGTTTAGTCATTAAATCCCTGAGTTTTCCTTCTTATACAGCAGACCAAGTTTGTAATGTT